ACTTAAGGTTTTGACCCTCCCCCAGGCTCGCTTGTGGTCTTGGGACCTATGTTCCCATGGCTGAGGATCTGTCAGGTTTAGAGCTTTTAAACCCTAAAGCCTAAAACCCTAAACCCTAAACCCTAAACCCGAAACCCTAAATTGTGGCATAATTTCGGGGCGGAGGTGTAGGGAAAGTGTCGAGTGGTTGAGGTGGCATCGATGACGTGGGAGAAAAGAAGTGGGCCGGAGACTTCCAGCTGAAATTCTACCCGTGGGAGTACCCCTCCTACACCAACAACATGAAGTTCGAGGGTGTCTTGCAGGTGGCGGTCGGATTGAAGATGGGAAACGCGAAAGGGACCATCCGCACTTCCGTCTCCTACTGGTCTCCGGACGTATCAGGTAAGGCCAAGGATGCGAGCAACTACAAGTTGGAAAAATTGGAAAAACCCAGTGGCTTTGGCTTCACCATTGCTGTCGGCCCGCCTAAGAAAGGCGGGTCCGGGTCTGAAGGCTCGGAGTCTACGGAGTCTACGGAGTCTACGGACCTCGTCCAGGCCGGGTTGGGGCCGGATTTGGCAACGAGCCTTCGTGAGCAGCTTCATGCAGAGGGAATTACCGAGCATGATCTTGTGACTGGACTCCAGCAGCTTTCCACAGCGGAGAACATGTCAGGGGTTGTGCCCACTGGGAGCTTCGACGCGCGCTTGCAGCTGTACGTATGTTTTGACTCTCCGCATCGCTGCAACAAGGATGGAGTGTGATCGCGAAACTGCGGCCGTCTCCAAATGCGGATGCCAAGCAAGCTCAGCACAGTACCCAATGAGCCCCGCAGGCACAATTCCCGGGTTCGGACATTATGGGGGGGCCAGGTCTAGGCGTGTACGGATACAGCAGCACGCGCCCTGAAGTCGAATGAGATGTGTTGTGACGCGTTTATGTTCGAATCCGACTCTTGAAGTTTTTGAACCCGGGACTGTGCATGGCGGCCCTGGCCTGGGGACCAGTGCACGTCTTGTGTCATGGAGTTTCCCTGAATTCATGTCTTGACCACTGCCATGTCGGCGCCACGAACTGCAAGACATCAACAAATAAACTGTGACCATGATTCCGAAAACTCTGAACCTGAATTTTGCACATGGCACTAGTAATTAGTGTGCCTTTGTTATACCCGCTGCTATGAACGTCGTTGAGACTGCGGACAATCCTACTTGCAAGAAAAGGCTCGCCAAGGAATTGATCCAGCTGATTGCAGGCCGACCTTAAGTTTAGGGTTTAGGGTTTAGCGAAAAGTATGCTTGACTCCTGCTTCATGCTTTTGCCTGTGCCATCTGCTTCG